TCTGCAAGCCAGCAGACAGTGTTCTATAGAGAGTACCCCACTCCCATACCTGTTTTTGTGTCACTTGAGGCTGCCAGTAGGTACACAGCACAACATTTGCCTCCTCTGCCCTGCGCTGGTTGCTGAGCTGATTGGACAGTCTCTTCTTAGCACTGTCATCCGTCACGCCGTCTCTCTCCACAATTCTTCTTACAGCCTGTGAAGAATAAAACATATTACAGAAAGTGACACATAAAGGAAATGTCACTATGACTACGAGCTGAGTCATTGCAGCTCTATATTAAAGTGATAGCTCATGTGCTACAATGGCATGAATACCAAATTTACTGAAAGTATGCCCATCTCAGTTTAGTGAGCGTCTGCAGCTCTGAGTTATACACAGCTTGAATGCCAATGTAGGGAATTCAATTATTTATTTAGCTGTTATCATCATTCACACAAGAGGTCTGTGAGTGTTTTGACAGTGCTGTATCAGCTGTGAAGGTTAAAAACCGTGATGATGACTTATTGATCCGTGGGCAAAACTGTTTCCTTAATTACGGAACGAAAACTAAACACATAAAAGCAGCACTATGGTGGTACCGGTTGTCGTCGTCGACGATGGGACACAAGCAATGCATGAAGCTCACCTCGTCTTCCGGAATGAGCACCACCCAGACCTCATGGACCATGTTGATCCAGCCGGCTTCCAGCAGAACCGCAGCATCCAGGACACACACACGCACACCTGCATAGAAAACGCAGCAGCACTCGGTCACTCACACAAAGCACACAAGCACGGACATTTCTGAAATTAAAAAAAGTGATAATAATATAAGCGTCAAATATTTCAGACAGTTACATTTCCAGTCGGAAACTGTTGATGTCATGGGTGTCTAAAAATAATGTCAAAAACAAATGTTCATGTATGGTCCATTTTTGTACGGTAGATCTATGTGTTTTTAAGTAATTAATCTCGAACCAAGATATTATAATTTCTGCACCGCTCAGCCAACATAAACAAAGAGCTACAAAATCTACTCAACTGTAGCTGCTAAAGGGGTGAGAGCCACTTACCTTTTTCTACACAATCAGCAATAACTTTCTTGGCCAGCCTCGCGATTTCAGGCCAAACAATGTCCGTTAGTTTTTTTAGTTTTTCCTGGCAAAAATTGCAAGAGCGCACAAAGATTAGCAGGGTTACTTCCTTTAAGTCCTTTAAATCACACCCGTCAACTACTCTGCTACTGGCAACATCAGAAAGAATTAGCTGCTTAACATTTGTAAACCATTTATATTTGGCTGTAGTGTGATCTTCATGTGTGCTGTCTGGTGTATGTTCTTGACACGATTTTTTTTACTTGGTATGACTGCACCTCTGTGATTAGCACGGTAGGCTACGTATTACGCGAAAAAAGTTCAACATCCATACAATGCTGTGAAAGTTCAAACGCGTTTTTTCAAGTCGCAATTACATGTGTGTGTGTACGTAATTTGACACCCTGGGCATCCTTGCAAACGAGATGTTCCCTCTCCAGGGATTATCCAGGTAAAATTTTTTTTTATAAAGTACATATGATATATAATGAACTGGGTACGTGCCCATGCATTATAAAAAAAATACTGGAGTGTCAAGTTTGTACTATTAGGAACCTCCTGGTTACACCAGCTCACAGGGGATTATTGTGTCCGTCCGTCGTGCATCCAAAAATGGGAGGGGTGGGGTTGGGTGGAGAGGGGAGGGTGGGGAGGGGCTGGGTGGGGAGGGGCTGGATGGGGAGGGGAGGGTGGGGAGGGTGGGGAGGGGCTGGGTAGGGAGGGTAGGGAGGGGCTGGGTGGGGAGGGTGGGGCTGGGTGGGGAGGGGAGGGTGGGGAGGGGCTGGATGGGGAGGGTAGGGAAGGGCTGGGTGGGGAGGGAGGGGCTGGGTGGAGAGGGGCTGGGTGGGGAGGGTGGGGCTTGGTGGGGGGTGGGAGGGGTGGGGCTGGGTGGGGAGGGGCTGGTCACCCCGTGGTGCCCTTATATAAAACTCAACGTTTAACCTACTCACGCCGGCTTGTGCCCGCCCTCACAGTCGGGCATATTTGCGGAATACAGCACGTGGTGCCGCCGTTGACCCTGGCCATTGACCGAGCAACCCAACGTTCCTACCAGCTCCCTCCCTCTGCAGGAATGTGTTAATCGGCACTGTGCCACTCTCACCTTTTCTGAAAACACTTTCTTCCCCAGCTCCTTTCTGTTTATGGTTCCATCTTCTGACAAGATATCTGTAACAATGTGGAAAAGGGGTACTGTAAACATGGAAATCCGATGGTAAACTGAGAATGGGCCATGTATCCACATGGCCGCATTATATCATAAATTAGTAAATATAATCAGCTGTTAAATGTGAATTGCACCGCTTTACGCTTCAACATTGCTTTAACCGCAATTGCTTTCTAGTTGGCACGCGACATTCACTCTCCAACGACTTGATGAATTGTCAGAATTTGCTCCATTAGGATGAATATTTAATATAATTTTCACACATACGGTCCATGGCGTGTACCATGAAAGTGCGAATATTTTTTTATAGATTAATCGTCCCACAGTTACATGCAGTGAAATAGGTAAAGGTGCACCCCTGCAATTGCTTGCACCACTGCTGGCAGAAGCACCCCCCCCCCTACAGCAAACAATAGAGGATATTAGGTCTCCTCTTTCACTCTGAGTAGATGTATTAGAAGAGGTGGGTGTACCCACACTTTAACCCACCATACATAACCTGCCTGCCGATCGACTAACCGTGGTGGAATCTTGATTTGAGGCTTTCGTGACTGCACGAATCCATACTGTCTGCAGACAGTCTGCATCAGCAGCAGACCACGCTTTCCCACCTGATGACAGACGCTTGTGTTGCGCCCGAAACATCGTGAATTATTTTATTTTCTACCTACGTGACTTTACCGAAAGAACCAAAGAGTATAACTGTGGTGGACCCATTTATGCTTCTGGGTGGATAAAGGCGGTGGTGGGGGGAGATTTCAGAGAGACTTGGCATATTGTTTCAACTGTCGATTCGAGAGATGGAATTAAACCGGTGACCTCTGCATTGCAAGTCTAATATGTTGACCATTTCCACTGATATTGGGTTTGATAGTAGAAACAAACTTGACAAAGCAAAGCACCATAACTCATTACCTTTACAGTAGCCACCTAGCATAGTGCACATTCAGAAACGGAACGTGTGCAGCAATGACGACCAATCGAAACACAGGGCACGCGTCCGCCAAAGCGCCTCACCCTCTCCAAACTCCTCGACGATGCTGGCATGGGCGCTAGTGCCTGGCAGGTAGGCCTGATGACCTAGCACGTCGCAGTCCACATGTACGGCCCCAAGCGCCTCCAGACGCCTGGCGACGCTCGACTTCCCGCTAGCGCTGATTCCCGTAAGCCCAATGACAAAGGGCACCGGTGGGATGTTGGGTTTCACCTGCAAGAGAAAGATCCCCCGTATAGCCTTAACAGGCTGTTGGGGCAAGTGTTGTTAGCGAGTAGAACCTATGAAGGCCGGGATGGCACACGAGGGGGTGGGTGGCCAAACACCACGCCTGGCTGCCTTTATCTCCCAAGTGTCGATGTTTACACACTGCACGGGGTACTCATTTGAGGCTGAATCGACCGAGGGGAGGCCCAGGACCGGTTCAGATTATCGTCACTGGTGTTAGCCATGAGCGGGAATCGAACTCGGGTCACCAGGTTCATAGTGCAACGCCTTAACCATTACGCTACCGCTCCCTACGGGCACGGCGCAAGCGACAATGGCATGTCGCATTTCACTTCTGAGAACTTCACTTTTTACGGGAAACGTCAGGGAGCCCGAGCGCTCTATCTCTGAACGTGACGGCGCCTCACTTGTGGCGGTTTCAGCAGCGTGCCCAGCAGCCGTGCTCTCAGACTCGATGAGCTGATTTTCATTTCCTCGTGGCTCGCGTGGTGACGGTCGGCGATCAGCTTGATCTCGTGCACCTCCAGCACCGGCAGGCCCTGGCAGCGGAAGGATGTTCTCAGTGACCACTTTCCCAAAACAGACAACTCGCCCAGATGAAACACACTCCAGTGCAGTGCTTATTACATGCCTTTAGCACCGCCCGATTATCACGATTGGCTACCTATGGTGCGAAAGAAGTTCAACACACATACAAGTCATTAAAATCCTCAAAGTTAATGAAACCATCTACGCCGCTAGAGCATTGCCTGATGTGTTAACCCTGCAATTAGTGCCTATCAGAACTAATCTGATTTGACACGCAAACTGTATCAAAATCGTCTTCCACCCACTAACATAGGCGCGGTGAGAGAAGGCGTGTGCAAGTGAAAGCAAATAACTGCACTTCCACGCCGGAAAGTAATGGTTATTCACCAATAATCAACTTGAACTCGTGGCGCATTTTCCCAGTGAAAGATTCCGAGTTTGAAAACCCTTTAGGCAGTGCACAAGATGGATGTTAAAAAAAAGTCAGGAAATGTGCATGTGCAGCAAAAAAATCAGTCTGGAAGCATTAAACACGTGGCTTTCGTCCAACAACTCCTACAGTGCTCGTTGCTGTTTGAGCGGAGGGGATTTCCAAAACATTGTGTGCACGGTCAAGAGCTGTCGCCCATTCCCCGTGTCTGGCACGGCGTGTGGCTCTACAGGCAGGTACGTGATGCATTCACACGCACGCTGACAACTGAACTCATTTCATGGCCCAAGAATATACGGAGCTCAGAGGTAAAAACCGCGAAACACTTTTGTTGGCCGTTGACCAGCGTGCTGAATTAAAATTACTGAACTTATTTGTCAATTGAAATGCAAACTGGCACGGAGCTCTCGTTTTGGATGCCTTGGGAGGAGGGTTGTGGGGGGGCACAGCGCCTGCAGCGTTGAGGGGCAACGTTGAGGGGCAGCCTCACGCGCTCGGGCAGGGGGGGGGCCGGCAGGGAATGCACGGGGGGCACCACCCTGCCCTTGCCTCTCTGCACACGTGCGGTCACACGCGAACGTGCGGAACGAAAGACACTCAAATTGATGCCGTCTCGTTGGGATCACACGCCGCACGCAAACATAATGAGCATAAAAGTTGACGACACAGTTTTTTAAATGTTGATAATACAATATTCCCTCATTATTCGCACGGGAACCGTTCAGAAGATGCTCTTGAAGAGTGCATTTTGCGGATAATGATGTTGCCTACGAGATTATTTACCTTGAATAAATACAGAAAGTAGCTATAAAAAACATGGAAATTATCATGGCACGACAAAATTAGTAAATAAATATTAAAGTATCTTATCGCTTTACCTCTCGATGCAGTCGTGTATAGTTCCAGATGCGATTCGCAGATAGCCAAATTCGCGGATATCGAGTTTGTCAATGACGAGGAAATACTGTATGATGATTTATTAGTACAGAACGGCCACCCCGTCCACTTTCGTGTCAACAAGATTTACTCGGTCAAAGAGATCAAGAGAGAGAGGAGGGAGGTTCTTCAGCGGGTGAGTATGGGATATGACAAACGCCTCCGCGGCACTGTGGATCACATATTTAGTCGATTTAGTAATGTTTCAACTGTTTAAATAAGAAAAACAACGCATCATTCTCGGGTCACGCTTGCAAATGAGAATAACCATGCTCTCGTGAGTTCTGGTTAAACAAATAAACATGAACGATAACGTGACGAGACAGGCTGGAGGGAATCGCCACCATTTTATCTCCTTCACCAAACTCTTATTTTGTCACATGAACAAAGAAATACAGCAATTCCTCATTTAACGTGCTGGATGCGTTCCTGAACAGTGCCGCCTTACGTCGAAATACCGTGCTATTAAGCAGGGAATTACTATTCTTGGTTTTTTCAGTAAAGTCACGTAGAAGGGAAACAATAAAGTAATAAAAATATCAAACAATAAAGTTCTCACGACGTTTCGACTGCAACACAAGCAAGTCGAAACGTCGTGAGAATTTTATTGTTTAATATTTGTATTATTTTATTGTTTCCCTTCTACGTGACTTTACCGAAAGAACCAAGAATATGAATCCCTGCAGTCACGAAAGCTTTAAATCAAAATCACGGAATTACTGTTACCCAATCACATTTCGCACTATAAAATCAGCCTGCAATCACTGCATAGCAGGGAAAAAGAGCCGAGGTGAGGGTCGACCGCCGCGTATCCTACCATCCTGTGTACTCTATCATTCCGCTCAGCTGTCGCTCACGAACCGCGTTACAATGGTGCGCGTTCCGTGTTGTGCGAAAAGTGGTCCCTCGTAGAAGAACCGCGTTGTAGCAAAAACGCGTTGTGTGAACACACGTTAAGCGAGGAGTTGCCGTACCGTAAACCGGCAATGGATTACCCATTGTTAACGTATATGAATGAATGCCCCACCTTCGCACGTGGAGGGCTCACAAGTGACGTCATCACATCTATCCCTATATTTAAGGAACGAAACAGGAGGATTTCTCCACAAATCTGTCTGTCGCCTGATGAAGCTGGTTTTAATTGCTGGAGGAACGTCATACTCAAGATTGTAAGTGTTGTGGATTTGCTCTCAAACACACCGGTGTGTTGTAATGGTAATGAATTGGCATGTTCTGTTCACATTGCAAACCTTACTAACTGGCTGTGTTGGGTGGTGGTGGGTTTAACGACACATATTTACACGATCTAACCCAAAAAAAAACTATATTGTGGATGATATTGGTCGCGAAAGCCTCCCACGTGTTAAACGGTTTGCTCCATTGTCTCTCGTTGGCACAGCCTTCTCGGAGAAGTGAAGTAACAACGCTATTTTTATACGTCTAAGATGCCGTCTCAGTCCACATAGTAATCTAATAAGGACCAATCAAGTAATCGGATACAAAAATATAGATTTTTTGTTGTAATACGTTGGGTTTTCTTTTTTTAAACGTATGCAAATTATCCAGTCCAATGGTGTTGCCATACTTGGGATTCCATTCGGGTTTAGTACGTACATACCACGCACAGCGGCACATATCCGGCACGAACCTATAGGGAAGTGTGCACACTACTACTACGCAGGCTGCGCTGGGTTAGCGACTCCACGTCCAACCACTCCGCTCTCTGCCTGGAGTGTCCAGAGGTTTGTGGTTTTTTTCTCTCCCACATTGTTCCTTTTTGCATGCTTTTTATTAACTCACTCTTTTGTTGTCGTTGTTGAATCCTCAAATCTTGTAACTCAATTTTAACCCACTTCCCAATGTGGTATCGACTGCAAACTTGATATACTTATGTCATACCGATGACAATACTATATTCTATCATAAAAAATAAAATAACATGTATTTTAAAACATTATTTTTTATGTTGTTTCGGCTTGGCTCTAATTGTCCACGCTCAACTGACGTTGGCTGTAAATGACCACGGTCCCCTTATGTTGTGGCAAGCTTCGGGGCCACTTCCTGGAGTCGTGGAGTTCTTCCATTACTAGTACGGTACATTTCATTAAAGCGTGTCTTTTAAATTTTCTTTTTAAATATTACTTATTAAACGAACAAAAAAACTGTTTGAGAAAATAACGTACACTATTCATGCTCCAATGTCCAACTGAGCGTACATCGGGTACCAGTGGCTAGAGGTATTTATTGAGTCCTACGTTAAGTTGTATTGGTCTGTCACAAATGCCAATTTGCTCTTGATTCTTTAAAAAGAAAGAGGCTGTAGATGGAGTATTGTACCAGCAGAGATTATTAGTAATGGAAGACCAGCACAGAAGTGAAATGTTCGATTTGTGTCTTTTTCAGAGTTTACACTGTAATCTCCTCGCTTCTCCTCGAGCATTCTAGTTCTTAAAAGTACTTCACTCAAGACGGTTACTTGACCAAACAGGTGTGCAATGGATAACAATTTTACAAAAGAGATACGGAAGCGTTACGAGCAGCTCCCGACACTCTTTGAGCTGACACACGACCTACCGCACGGCAGCACGTACATCAACATTGTCATCGCAAAACTGGAGCGGAAACAGGCGCATGAAGCCACCGCAGAAGAGTTTGACAGCGACGTCTGCGCCCTCAACTGCCTCACCTATTTATACCTATCGCAAGATCAGCTGGCCAAAGCCGAGTCGTCAGTGACAGCTGCCCTAGTAAAGGAGCCGTGCAGTGTGACAGCACTGGCCAACAAGTGTGAGCTTCACTTGCATCGCTACGAATTTGAGGCCGCCAGCAGAATGGCGGAGGCACTGGACAGGGAGAAGGGAAACAAGGCAGCAGTTGCTACGGCCTTGGCTGAGCAGGGCTACTGTCTCTCCCGTCTGGGTCCCGTGGCACAATTCAAGGCCATCGACAAATATTCGCAGGCCATCGAGATGGGCCACGATCACTGCACTCCTGACAAACTTGTTTCTTGGAAGTACGGTTTGGCTTTGAACCTCGACAGGTCAGTTGGAACACCTGCAGCATTCGAGAGTAAATGATTCCTTTTTTACGTTAAGGCTCGCTCGTTACGTCGGCAATAACGTGTTATGGCTCTCTTTTGCAGGGTGTTTGAGATTGACATTTTGAGAGAGAACCCCGACTTTGACAAGAATGAACACTTTCAACAAGCCGTGGAAGCCCTTTCACACGTTGTCCACACGGACGACAGATTTTACAAGGCCAAAGGTTTCGCAGTTTTGGGCCAGATAACCAAGAAATTTTTCAACCACAGGTAAACTGCTGTATTTCTGAAGTACTTTAAACGTGGGGTTTAATGTGGTAGTTGATGTGTTTTGCTATTTAAATCAACAAAGTGATTGTCTGCTCAAGTGATCATTGAGGTGGTGTGCCCATCTCCTATTTACGGCCCTCAGGCAGTGGTGCAAATTCCTAATTCCTATACTGAGGGCGATTCCATCTATAGCAGCGGCCCCCAACCTTTTTGGCACCAGGGACCGGTTTCGTGGAAGACAATTTTTTCACGGACCGGGGGGGGGGGGGGGGGGGGTTCATCATTGGGTCTTTCCCCCTTTTAAAAGAAGCTCTCCAGCGACGTTTGTTTTTTACTCATTGTGGCTAGGGTTAGAGCCTGTGGGCTTTATACCAACACTGTGACTGAGACAAATGCGCAGTGCGGGAAAGAGGCGCGGACGGAAGTGGTAAATAATAAAATAATGGGCGGGCCACGCGCGGACTCACCGCTCACCTCATGCTGTGCGGCCCGGTTCCTAACAGGTCACAGGACTGGTACCGGTCCGCGGCCCGGGGGTTGGGGACCCCTGAACCACAGAATAACAAGTGCTGACTCGCCCATAATGTGGTATTCAATTTAAGAGCCCTGAAAGATGGATGGTGGGCTGAATCAGCCACCAATCAGCACTGAACGCACAACTTTCCAACTCATACTGCAAGCCACTCTACCGTTGAGCCACCTGAACGGTTACTATTCATTAGATTGCCCCAATCTTACCAAGGCTGCAGCACTGTTAGAGCACTCGAGCAGGCCGCTCAATAAAACGCAGCTCAGAATAAATGAGCACTTCGGAAATGGACAACAAAAGCCTCCTCTGCCCGTTATCATCATCATAATACTATCAAAGACTGTGTCTGTATCTGTCACCATGAACTTGCCAGCGTTGTGCTCCATGAAAGCTTTTCTGCCGATGCCCTTGATTCTTTACGAAAACACAAGGAATGTCAGGGATTTCGAGAGTGCCCGTATTGTGGAGGTGGGCGACGAGGCGCTCACCGTGTCAGAGTGCTTCGAGAGGGCCTGCGTGATTGCGCCCCAGGACCACTGGGTGCTGGAGAGGGCGGGAAAGCACTGGAGGCACATGCGCCAATACGACCGAGCTCTGGAGCTCCTGCACAAAGCCTACGCGCTCTGCCCCTCGTCCTTTTCTCTCCACCACCTCGGGCTAACCTACCGCACCCTAGCAGATCAAGCTCATGCGAGGACCCTGGATGGTGAGACAAATTTTCTTCTTTCACAAAGACACCTAAACTTGAAAAAAGTGTTTCTACTTAAAATGTCTCCCTACTGCATTCTCACAGATCCTTCTATCATTTAAACAAGCCACACTTCAGCTTTGGCCCAACCAAAAAAAACGACGTAAGTTTGCGGCCCTGCACTCTGTGTAATTAGAGTTATCAGCAATGTAGCTTTAGCAACAAAATACTGTGAGATTTCACCAAAACCAAAACGTTTTCAGAAGGGATTTTATTTCTCCCTTGAAATCCTTTGAGTAAGTTCCTTATTATTTGTCTCTACAGCTCCTACTGCAGGATATAGCAGGGATTTCAGAGGTCAAAGACACCCTTGGCGGCTAGCAAACGCAGCTGGCCGTGGCCAGAACTTGTTTGTCAGAGATGAGCCGATGACACACCTCTGCGATGTGAGCGCAGACTTTGCTGCTTTGAGCATCACTAGTGGGGAAGACGGGCAGCCCAAGTGCACATTGCGAGTCAGGCGGCCTTTATTCCCCAGCAGAAGGCCTAGAGGGGGCAGACAGCCTTTCTACAGCTCCGGACGAATGCTAGGGCAGTCGCCTCATTGCCCTGGTGGGGCAGCGCAGAACCCGGAGAACACGCAGGCACGTGGCCACAGACGGGGAAGAGGAAAGAGTCTTTTCAATTGCTACAGAGAAGTCAAAGATCCACATGTCACAGAACTTCTAGACCAAGCGATTAAGTACATCAGAGAGGGGATTGAGCTGTCAAAAGAAACGGGTCCCCAACTGTTGGTGGCCCTGGCCGAGATATATGTATCACTTGGCAAAACAGAAGAGTCTGATGATTGCTTCCGCAGGTCCATAAAGACAGGCAAATACGTCTCCCAACTCTTTCGTGCGCGGACATTCGAGAATTGGGGTTTGAACATGCAAGAGCGTGGCGATCAGCAGAGAAGTGAACAGCTACTCCGATTAGCAATTGAAAGCGCTGCCAAGGTGAAGAGTACACGCAAGGTGGCTCTAGACAGTCTCATAGAGCAACTAAAGGAATCTCAAGGCCAGACCCCTAAAATGCTTCGCTCTCGCTCCAAACTTTATGAACTCGTGGGCCTTCATGGACAGGCTCTGAGTGCACTGTGGGAGGCAGACACTATCCAGCCACAAGATCCTGACACCTTGCTTGGCCTGGTCAAGAACCTGGCCTTCAGGAAGCAGTATGATGAGGCGCTCATGTACTGGGCCTTCCTCAGATCCACAGAATCTGGAGACCATCTGATTGACAGTGACGTTTTGGAAAACATTTATTTTGGTGCAGCCGAGACACGCACGGCCTCACTGTCGCTGTCGAGCCAGAGTATGTGCGAGGCGTACGAGGTCCTTCTGATGGACAGAAGCAGAGACAAGAGAATGTACATCTTTCACAGGATGGACTCGCATGAAGACACCGTGATGGCCGAGAACATCCAGCAGCTAGCCAAGGAAGTTGCCGATGTAGAGTTCGTTAACTATTCTGAAATGCCTGCCGGAAAGTCGTACAACGACCTCTTGAAAAAGGCAACAGAGAAATACAATGCAATTATTGTGCTGGTGACCCCAGACTTTGTGGCCGATAAATTGTCCATGAGTCTGTGCAGCCTACTGAAGCAATGCGTCCTGCTGTGCCTTCACCCAGAATCCATTTCCATTGACCAAATTCCCCCAGCGCTCAAGGACTGCCATCACGCCTTACTGGCCAAGGAATTGTACAAGGACTTTACAACAAACACCAATCCAATCCAAAAACTGCACATGTGGAGAGAGATCTTCAACAACTTGAGAAAAGCTAAGCAACTGGTCAATCCCTCAAAGAAATAGTTGCCAGGGAAAACTCACACTTAAGTTACAGATTCAGTTTATTCTTTATCCATGACAATATATTTTGCCTGAGCGGCATTACGACAAAAACTGCTCCACTGTTTTTCAGTGGAAGAAGCCACCACTGCTATGCGAGGGATGAATGGGTGGTTTTGTATTAAAGTCTGGTGTTCTGTAGTCTTCCAAGGTAATCCAATTATTAGTGCTTCTGCCCTTCCCATGCTTGTAAAATTCAGTGATTTGGGGTTGAGAAGTGGCTGTACATTTTAACCGTAAAACCAATTTACCAAGAGATTTTCAGCCACAAACAGGTGAACATTTGCGGAGGTTCAGTTATTATAACTCCACGCAACGTACCATGGTTTCACAGCACATTCTCTTGGCCTACACAGAACTGTTTTGGATTTCTGCACGTGCATTGTATTCAAACCCTTGAGAACCCCACGCTTAAGTGTTATAGCCAAACTTCAGCTTGGTGGAGCACTGGTTACCTTTTCCTTACGTTTGCGGTTCACAGCCTGCCCCCCTTTGCGAGTCTCTTCGCTGACCACAATGCACTGCAGAAGAGAGTCAGTGATGGCAGGTCCGAAGGGGTCCGTGATGGGGACGATGTCGTAGCATAGATGAGGATGCACGTCGCTCAGGAAGCTCCGGAGCGCTGAGAGCCTCTGCTCATACGGCTCTATCAGCTCATTCAGAAGCTTCCCTGTCGACAACAACATTGCAATGTCACTTGAAGCAGTGTAAATCACGTACAAAAGATTCCCAGGACAGCCTTAACAGACTGCAGGAGCAAGTGATGTTAGCGAGCACCTATGAAGGCCAGCACGCACATAAGGGGGTGGGTGACCAGCATCACTCCCGGCCGCCTTGGTCTCCCGAGTGGCGATATTTACATAACGCACCAGGTACTCAATTGAGGCTGAGTCGACATAGGGGAGGCCCAGAACCGGTTCAGATAATCACCACTGGTGTTGGCCGCAAGCGGGAATCGAACCCGGGTTGCTGGGTTTGTAGCACAGTGCGCTAACCATTAAACGACCGCTCCCCACAAAACAAAGATCCCCTGTATAGCCTTAATGGGCTGCAGGAGCAAGTGCTGTTACACACACACCTCAAGCACACTAAAACATTATAGCATCAATGTCATTGCCTATGTAAAATTGTTCCTCTCACACAGCTTAAAGGCCGTATCTGAACGTGGCTCTTTCACTCCAGCGGTCCTACCAGACAGTCTCGCCCCCTTCACCTGATGAAGGCCGCTTGTGTTGTGGCCGAAACGTCGTGAGAATAATATTGTGTTATTTTATTTTATCAATTTATTATTTTATTATCATTCTACGTGACTTTACCGAAAGAACCAAAGAAGATGAATCATTGCAGTCACGAAAGCTTTAAATCGAAATTTATGTAAAATAAATTCAATAAAACGAGATGTGAAATTCGCAGTTAATGTCTCCCGAATCTTTGGAGCACTTTCATGGCCATTGCGTCATAACAATTAACGTGCCTTTTTGTCCCTGTCGGTGGAATGCAAATGAACTCGATTGAATGTGCTTATGATTGCCCAACATATGCAATCATTCACCCAGGGAAAGCAATGACCCCCACAGAGTCAACACGTGGTCACTCGCCTGAACTAGCTGTAAGGCAGCCAGCCTATGCCAGCTGCTGGATAACCACATGTTGCACTCGAGAATGAAGCAGATCACTTACAGGCAAAAGCAAGTCCCATTCATCCCACCCCATGCTTCCCTTATTCAACGCACCCAGAGTATCACGTGTTCTCGGCAAAAATGTATCGAGAACATTTTTTCCCTTGAAATGAACATTCAATTTATGATGTGTGAAAGATGGCTCAAGGGGTCAGAGTATGGGGCCGGCATGGTTGAGATTGTGGATTTAAATCTGTGTAGCCACCCCATAGATACACTTGGTTCTCAAGTGTATTGAGTTGATAATTTCAGCCCGGATACCAATGATGGGAAAAACACCACATTAAATGAGTTATTAACTTAATTTAGTTAATTTCCAGCTCAGAGAAGTAAAACATTGGTTTACCTGCCATGCAACGAGCATTTAAGTGACGGTGCACCCAATAAATATGTGGATAAGATATCACTTAAAGATATATCTAAAGCAGTTACATGAAACCTTATTCTTTGGGCCATTCTCTAACAGAAGGGGTGACGAACTCCCCTGGCAGAAATCCAAACGATTAAGTCTTACTACTTAATGCCAGCAGCATATTTGAAATAAAATTGGATGAAACAAATTGTCTAATGTAATTTGCGAGCAGCAAGCATCAATGACCTTGCAAAAGCGCCCCGTCTGCAACTCCAATCAGCACGCGTCTTTCGGCCAACAAGCACGCGGTACTCAGGAGGATCTTGTGCGCGTTGTGCAGCCTGTCAAACGTGCCCCCGAGAACCACGTCCGAGTAGCTGGGCGGCCCCCCGTCGGCCGAGCCCACTGTGCTCTCTCCGGGCTGCTGCGTTTCCCCGGGTGCAGACTGGCCTTCCTTGGAGCCCACATCGGGCACAAAGAGCTTGATGGAAGCATTGCACTCGTAGCGGTTCTGCACGTAGCTTCGGAAGAACGCCTCCACGTCGTGAAGCCGCTTCAGGTCGTCGATGCTGCTGTAGTCGGTGAGCACCACCTCGGGCGAGTGGCAGGGGGTGTGCAGGGCAGCGGGCACGTTCCCAGCCACGCCGTGCCCTTTAATGTTGGCGAGGAAGACACGCACATCCAGGTGGCTGCAGATATCCGTGGCCTTCGTGTAGACATTGGAGACCATCTGGGAGACTTCCCACGTCACGGGAGACAGGGCCGCCCTGCTGCAGGGGGACGTGGTCGAGCTGGGCGGCCTCAGGCCCGGGTGAAGGTGCACGTACAGAGTGCCGTTAATCATCTCCGATGCCGAGCGCAGGGCCCCACCGATCTGGAACGGCAGCTGCGCTGCAGGCGACGTGAGGACGAGCAGCCCCGTCCGGAACAATTCCTTGCGGGCCATGGGTGACGCTTTCCAACATATCACACAACACCGCTGTACTTACTCACTGAACCACACATAATATTCCACGGCAAGACTCAATGCAGAACACGCAATACATCACAGCAACACTTAATGATCAACACGTAACAAGATCACAGCAAAAGTCACCGATCCACATGCAACACATCACATCCACCACTCACTGAACCACACGCAATATATCACACCAATACTCACCGATCAACACGTAACACATGAGAGCAAAGACTCATTGATCCACATGCAACAACATCACACCCAACATTCACTGAACCACACGCAATAGATCACACCAATAACTCACCACGTAACACGAGCAAAGACTCACTGATCCACATGCAACAACACATCACGCCAACACTCACCGATCCATATCCAACACATTACAGCATCACCACACGCAACACATTAAACACTACCAAAATTGGATTCCTATACAGAAACAAACGCCGCATTCCACATCGACTCTGTCGCAACCATCCTGCCCATACTTTATTATACCTTACGTCTCATTCCATGACACAGTGCCACCGTAAGGGGCTGTCCATAAATGACGTCACGCGATTTTGGACGATTTTTGACCTCCCCCCCCCCCCATCGTCACACGTCGTCACAAAAAGTCAGATCCCTCCTCAAATATGACGTCACAAAGCTCTGCCCCCCCCCCAAAAAAAAAATCATTGTCATTGTAGTGCAGATTTAATGTGCCGCTGGACTCTGATGTTGTAGGAGAAATCATCTATTAAAAAGTCTATTTAATTAAGTAGAACGTGTTGTCTATATTTATCTAAAGTTGCGCATTTTGATGTGACGTCACATTTCTCAAACCCCACCCCCCTCGTCACACATCGTCACAATTGTCTGACCGCCCCCCCGCCCCCAGGTGCGTGACGTCATTTATGGACGGCCTCGAACCACTCTGCTATCGATCTTGCCCTTCACACCTTCCCCCAGGCTATGGAACGCTCTCCCAAGATATATCAGGGACCTCCGAGTCTGTGGAGATGTTTTTTATTTAAACGCGTCTTAAAACCCATGTTATACGCTTCCACTTATTACAATTTTAGTTCATTTAGTAAATTGATAATTAAAATGTATTTGTGTTATAATTATTGGTATGCTGAGTTTCTGCTGCTGCATCCTGTGCAGCCTTTTGAGATCCTTGATGAAAAGCCGCTATATAAATGGAATTATTATAGAAGCTATCCTTACAACCTGTAAATTAACTGAAAATATTCCATTTCATGCTAGAATAGTAATTGTTTCCGCGTTACTTGTTACCCACGTTTCTGGAATATCAATTGCCGCTCATCCACAGTGTGTGGTTCTCTCCCTGCAGTTTAACACGTGGTAGGCTTTCCCGACAAATGTCATCCATAAGAGGGGTTTTTTGCGTTAGATCACGTAAATGTGTCGTTAAAACCCGCCACCACCCGACACAGCCAACTAGTAAGGGTTGTCACGTAAACAGAACGTGTCACTTCGTCACTAGTACAGCACTAGTGTATAGTGTAGTGTAAAGTAGTGTAGTGTATAGTAGTGTAGTGTATAGTGTAGTGTATAGTAGTGTAGTGTATAGTGTAGTGTATAATAGTGTAGTATATAGTAGTGTAGTGTATAGTAGTGTATAGTGGTGTAGTGTATAGTAGTGTAGTGTATAGTAGTGTAGTGTATAGTGTAGTGTATAGTGTGGTGTATAGTAGTGTAGTGTATAGTGTAGTGTATAGTGTAGTATACTAGTACAGCACACCGGTGTGTTGGCGAGCCAAGCCACATTTACAATCCGAGTACGACGTTTCGCCTGCTGAAAGTCCCGAGTTTCCTTTACCACCGCTAGATACTTCCCTTGTTAGTTATTCAATGTTCCTTCAGGTCCCTGTAGTCGTTTCTGCGCAATACTGAACGCTTTTTTGTTGTTGTTGTTGACTTTTGTTGTTTCTGGGCTCACACACCACAGATCTCCCTCGTCAAATAGCCGGGGAACTGGCCCAACGTGATCGTCCGTGGAACAAAATCGCACGAACTCAAACGGGGCTAAACTCCAGCCTTTGGTTATCATGTTCAGGTCAAGAGGTTAACATGTCAAGGTCACCTTGCCCCAGACCGGTCATCGGTACGTTTATGCAGCTCCCATTGCAAAGCTGAGCGACCACGCGAGTGCGTGGTGCCGCATGCAGCAGATCGCCGCGTAAAATCCCTCGTAGCGAGCTCAATGCATGCCCTGATCGCGGTGATATGATCCACACAATAGTCATCAACCATGCAAGACCTGACCACAGTGAGAGCCACGTAAGAGGGAGCCTCCTGACTTATGGTGAGCTCCGGACAAGTGAGCTCCGCATGCCCAATACACGAACTGTACATTTGTGCCCGCGAGACGTGGCCCTCGTCTCCGCGTCTGCAGTGGCCACAGCACTCACCCGGCACACTCACGCCGCTCACCCACCCGCTCAACTCACC